AATTGTGCAAGTTATCTCTAACCTTGCWTCCAATTCAGTTCTTGAATAGTARATCTRAATTYCTARARTCTTTCTCAAGCACTCTAAGAATTCCAAGCTTAGATCAATTCGGCCAATCTGAAAATTTACAGATCTGAATTCTCTTTCAAGCAATTCAGATCTTGCAATCTCAGATTTGAGAATTCAGATCTGAGTTTTGAAAGTTTAATTGGTTGAATTGATCTACAATTAACCCCTAATCAAGATACTTCAAGAACAATTCACACTCATTCGAATGAATCAAAAAGAAATTGATTGTTGAACTGAAATTTTACAAACTTAATTACATCAAGAAAGAATGGAAGAGGGAGAAAGAAAAGAAAACTACAACAAAGAAGCTAAATTTGAATCAAAGGAAAATGAAACTAGAATGGAATTATTACAATAGATCTCTGAATCAAAAACCCCCAATTTCGAACTCACCTTTTCTTCTTGCTAGCTTCACTTGAACTCCTTCAGCCCTTCTTCTTCTCTTTCTTGCGCCTAGCCCTTCTTCTCTTCTCTTTTCTTCAAGGTATTTGAACCTCTAGGAGTGGGAGAGCCTTTCTCTCAAGCAATTGAACACCTTCCCCCTTCTAGAGGCCTCCTTATATAGATTTTCAAGGGGGCTCTTGCCCCTTCTTGAAGCCTCTAGAATGGGGTGTATTACACCCCCTTCTTGAACTTTCTAGAGTTCTCTCTTGAAAGTCTTCTAAGTGTTGCCGCCCCTAACTCTTTGGGCTGCACTTAGGCTCCCGCTTAGCACATGATAGCTACACTCTGCTGGGCCAAATTTTACTCTTTGTTAGGCTTTCTTTTCTTGGGTTTTCTCACGGAATCAACTTGTACTTCTTGGGCCGAAGTGTGCTCTCTTGCTTCCATAACCGGGCTGGGCTGAATTTGGTCTTTTTGGACCTTCTTTTCTTACCTTTTTCCTTATTTTTCTAGGATTAATTACCCCTGAAATCTTTTCTTAGCATTAAGCTAAATTAGGGCAATATTAAATAAAACCAGAATAATAATCCATGCAAAGACCTCATAAATTATAGATAAATTGTATGTTCATCAGCGCCAAACTTGATCTTCGAACTCCATGTATGAACAGTCCATTAAATCATAAATAAAAAAAGAACAATTCTAAAATAAAATTTCAAATTCAGTGAAAATTAATTTAAGATCAATCGCCCATACAAGAAACAATTTCTTGTAGCAAAAAACTGCAATCTACGCAATACCCAGATAGAACTGCTTCTACCGAATTGCGCAGGTTCAGATATGATCTCTTGGTTCAAGACTCGAACCTGTGGCTCTGATACCACTGAAAGAATGGTAGGATCCATTGTATGGACGCCAAAAAGGTTGCGGAATGGGTGGGCGAATTTCAAAAATTTCCTACCTTTCTTCC